AGTTGGTTTAAAACTCATGAAAAAACAGAGAATTTTAGCCAAAATATACAAAACTTTTACTTTATTTCTATCGCATATACAGTAAAATAAAATCCAAATTCTGTGTTAATAATAATAACTGACTTTTCGAGAGAATATTCTCGTTTATGTCACGTATACCATAAACACACATGAATTTTGCATTATATGTCTCACACACTGTACTGCATGTCATTGTATATGAAGTATTCATTTGTTAATTACATGCTATTGATTGCCATTTGGCGTACCATTTAATGTCAATCCCTATAGTAATACATATTTTAGTGAATAAAACTTTTTTCTTTTGTGTTTCACACAAAACTTTTACAAATTCATACGCTTTGAAGCATACCTACCCGTCCGCACAGATAATCATAGTATTACTAAATGAAATCTCCACCACGCCTATGACAAAAGTTCCGGGGTTTCCGTGCTGTCCTCCCTGGGCACATGTCCTCCGGGGGGTGAGCATCAGGCACCAAACCTTCATAAACGGGAATGCCCAGACTAATTTATACTTGTAAATAGCAATTTATAACTAGGTGTAATATAAAATGTAAATCTTGTAACATGCTACTTAAATTATCGTTACAAGCAATTGTAAATTATTAATTTTACTACTTAACATTCAATAATTAATTAATTTGTTGTTATATTAATAGACTACCATGAACATGGTCTATTTAAAATTAATTCCTTTTATTAAATTCATTCTGTTATGAAATACAAAATTGTTTAGTGATTTTTATTGTACTTAATTTTGTCGCCAACAATAATTTTCTTTCTGTTACCCTCCTCAATAATTATTGAGTTTAAATTAACATTGGCACCATCACCATGGTCAATTCTATTAACAAGTGGCATTTGTGAGTAAGAGCTTCCAGTATGACAGTTTATAAAATTATCAGGATCATCGACTGCCTTTCCGTTCGAGCATTTTAAATCAGGAATACGTTTGAACAACGCGCGCTGTTTGAGCCAGTACGATTTACAATCTTGGCAATCGAAATTGGTGCTATCAAAGTAACGAATCTCATTTAACGGGTTGGCGGCAAAAAATGGCCAAAACACGTCTTCGGGAAAATACGTTATTTTTGAAATTGCCTGAGAATTTGACAAATCGATTTTGGTGGGTCGATTGATCCCGATCAATGAATTACGCGCGAAACTTGATGGCGTAAGATGCTGATTGTCGCGAAGTTCAATGTACAGGGTCAAGTTACTGGGTTCGTCCATGGCGAACGCATTATCGCCAATGTAAATGAGGTCGTTATTCCAAAAACTCAAATAAGTAAGCGTTGTTAGGTGGCTGAATATATTGCCATTCAATTTTTGAAAACCTCGATCTACCCATAATTCAAGCGATTTTAAATGTTTGTGATGACCCTGGCGGAAAACATCACCATCTAGTCCAGTTAAATTGGCACCACATAGCCTGACTTTTTCAGCCACTTCAAATCTGTTAATTGTATATAAAAAATTTTAGTAACAAGATTCATATTAGTGTTCATAATATTGAATAATGAGTAATATAACCTTCCTACCATACCTCATAGCAACATCTAATAAAACACGTGGTGGTAGTGACCAATCATTCCAAAAATTAAATAATTTTGTATAATAGTAATTTTGACCGAAAGCATCAGGGTGGATTTCTGTCAATGCTGAATCAAAGAATTCGATATTTTCGAACAAAATATCTTGAAATAAGTTAGCCGTAAGCTTGGTGTTATTGTGGTTGCCGAAATAAAATAGTTTAAAATGTTTTTGCTCCGGAGTCAGAGTTTTACTTAATTTTGTAAATATCGCGTCCAAATCAACAAATGTCTCCCCGATACAACTTATGATATTTTGTTCACAGCCGGTACAGGGGAATATTGCACTTGGATCGGTACAATTACAACTGACATGCTTAATGTTAGCAATTATTGCAAATAGGCCAAATATTTCTGAAATATAAAAAATTAATATATTCCATTATGGTCATATTGATACTAACCTAGTAATAATTTCATATTTATCTTTACTTATTACACCATGTATTATTTCCTAAAAGTAAATAATGTTTCATAAAATTAATTAAAAAATAGCTATTTATATAGTAGTGACTTATTGATATATAATTTAAGTTGTTTACAAATTTTTGCATTGGGATTCAACCCACCTGGATGATTTTGTAATAATAAAATTGATTAACTACACCTGTACTGTTACAAGTGCCACTGTACACAGACACAGACAATATTAATTGATAGTTTGCGTGCGTGTATTGTCTATGTCTGTGTACAGTGGCACTTGTAACAGTACAGGTTAATTTAATAATAGAAAAAGTATTAATCTCTAGGTTATTGCTTAAATTCGTGGAAATTTTATTTTTGCAAAACTATTTTTGTTTTATTGTACTTTATAGTATAAAGCATACTGTTCCAAAATTGGCCAGCTGGCCATTTTTTAGAACATTTTTATTGGGCTATTATTTCTGTCCAAATTTAACTTTAAAAATTTAATAAAATTATATTATTACTTAAGTATATAGATTTTAACTATTTGACTATAAAACACATAATTTAACTATTAAATTAAGTAATATTTAAAATAAATAAACTAAAATTTGAATTTAATTTAATATTAAATTAATATACTGGAACAATAACTTTATAAAATAGATTTTCTCATACATCCTTTAAATAAACAGACTA